GAATACATATTTTTAAAGATACTAATTTTAAATTATTGTATATATCATTTAATATTCAAGATCTTTTATAATCATATATAAAATTTTTAGTTACTATTAAAACTATTAAGAAGAGTTTGAATTCTGTTTAAAAAAACTAATTTATAAATACAAGAAAGTATAAATAATAATAAATTCAAGTCTAAAGGTTTATTTAAAGTCCAGACAAGTGAAATCCAATAGCATAAACCCAACAACTATTTTGGTTTTTTTTTTTTTTTACCAAACCTATAACCTTCTTGATAGTGCATTATTAAAAAAACTATTTTCACTTTAAAATAACTAAAAAAGTGTATTAATCTCATTAGGAGAGGTTGAGAGAAGTAACGCGTGATGACACGTAAATTATTTTCTATACTGACTAGGGATGTTAATCGGTCCTTAAGGATCGGATCCTAGCCGGTCCGGTCTGATCAGTGTTGGGTACAGTCTAAGTCAAGTTTTAAAAACTGGACTGGACTGGACTGTTCCATTGGAACTAGTTCCAGTTCCAGTCCAGTCCAGTTTTCACGTGATTTGACTAAAAAAATTTTTATTGGCTATAGGTTTTATATAATTTGTACATATATATGCTGATTACTAAATAGTGATATATTATTAACTAGATAGCTGCATAATGTTATCGTGCAAAACCAGAAACAGAAAGCTTAAATAAAAAAAAACTATGAATTATCAATATGACTGCTGGATGATTACTTAACTATTCAAAAGATTACTTTTTCGACAATCAAATCAATTAAATATGGCATTTATTTACACTGATTTTTAAGATAACACATTATATTATTTAGGTCCAGTTCCAGTAAGTACTGGAACTGGACTGGACTAGTCCAGTCCAGTAGTGGTCCATTGGACCGGTCCAGTCCAGGAGCCAACACTGGGTCCGATCCTTTAAAAATCAGTGGGGATTCGATCCTTAAATCACATGAGAGTTATATAGGACTTAGATCCCGGACCCAGTCTCTATAAATCCTATGATCTGCTTTTGTTAAACATTAGAACACCCCACTGCCTTCACTAGCACAGAATTTTTTTTTTAAAAGGCATATAGCTTTTAATTTTGAAACTTCATGGTCCCCAGTTTGAGTGTTTGGCGATACAAGGTATGATTTTAACTAACTTTAGAAGAAAAGTAGTATGTTTAAGGAATTAACCATCTCCGGATTTAAATAAATATAGACGATAGATGAGTAAACTTATAAAAGTTAAAATACTGAGTATTTAACACTAAAAGGAGCATTACTCACAATTTTCAACTAACTAAGTTGGTTGAGCTATTGACCGACCTTGTTGTGATTTGGAATTTAAACAGTAACGAAAGCCAGTGTGCCTTACCATCTTTCTCACCATGACAAAGGTGATATGCCTTAACGGAGTTACATCTCTAGTATTGAACATAAATAAATAAAAGGTGAATTGAGCTTATAAAAGCTAAATTACTATTAATTAAGAAGTATAACTTATACTTGTTGGTGCTTGTCTTTAAATTTCTATGTAATAATTAAAGCATCGTTTTAAAGTAAACCATCCTATAATGATAAAGACAAAGGTGATATACCTTAAAAAGTTTATCAATAATGAAATAACAAACAAAAGTGTCTTGTATGATAGAAACAAAAGCCATACACATTAAAAAACCCAACAATTTCTTGAATTAAATCTTTAGTAACAAAGGCGGTATGCCTCTCTTAGTAAACAAAAGTAATACTGCAATATGTCTTAAGACAAATGCATTTTGAATTTTATTATTTAAAAGCCTCAAAGAAAAAAAAAAAAAAAAAAAAAAAAATGGCAACAAGTGAATTTGAATCCCTTATAGAAACTGGTCAGTTCGAATTTGAAGTAATAAGTAAAGAATCCCCTAATGAAGAAACCTCTGTAAGTGATAAAATCGCATCTGTAACCCCAGATAACACAAATAAACCCTCCCAAAACATAAATAAACTGTGAAAAAAAAATTACACACATACAAAACTGAGCACCTGTTAGAGATTATCTTTTCGAACTCGACGATGGTGGTAATAAATGCAAAGTGTGTGAACAAACATTTGGAAATCAGACTGCAATATTAACCATTAATTGGCATTTTGAAGCCTTTCATCCTGCAGAATTTACTCTAATCAAACAATGTAGACATCAACGACTTGACCCTTATGATCCAAATGAAAAATATAAGGTGGACAATTTAAATAATAAATTTTTAAAGTGGGTGGTTGTCGATCAACAATCATTTTTATTATCTGAAAATACAAAATTCATTAAATTTTTGCAAGAACTTGATCCCCGTTATCGTCTTCCCTGCCGCCAAACACTCTCGACTTGGGTTAGTCAAGAGTACATAAATAATAAAAATAAAATTAAGTTTTTTTTAAATAAAATCCAGTCAAAAATTTCAATTATGATGGATGGTTGGACGTTGTGTACACAACAGCCCTATATTGGTGTGACCGCGCATTGGGTAGATTCTGAGTGGAAAATGCATCGAATCTTACTTGACATGATCCTATTTAACAAAACCCACACCGCAACCAACCAGGCCAATACGATTATTGAACTTCTAAAGGAAATAGGCATTGGTCAAAAACTTCTAGGGGTCACAACCGATAATGCCGTGAATATGCTTGCAATGGGGCGTGTTCTAAAGGAAAAAATGAATAATGAATTTAGTAATCCAAATGTGCAACATTTTCATTGTAGCACCCACGTTCTTAATATTATTGTAGAAGAAGGAATTAAGTCTGTAAGTAAAGAAGTTTCTAAGGCCCGTGAGTTCTCTATGAAGCTTCGAAACTCTCCATCTCTAATTCGAGAATTAAAAAAAATTTTCGAGTTGAAAAATATTCCATTTTTAATGCCTGAAACAGACATAGATATAAGGTGGAACAGTATGTACATTATGTTTGAGAAACTTCAACGAATCCGTCCCATAACTGATATTCTTGTAGCAAGCAACCAAACTTTAAAACCAAATTATCCTAACGAGCAAGAATGGAAAATTATTTTAGTTAGTAATTTTTTAAAATTTTTTTTATTATAAACACAGTTTAATTATGTGCAAATTACAGGACCTGCTAGTTCTTCTTGAACCCATGTACCACGCGACCATAATGCTGTCTTCGTCTACATTTCCTACCCAAGGTGACTTGCGCATGATATTCTGTGGCCTTATTATACATTTAAATAATAATGAAAATCTAGAAATTAATTCACAACACGCCGTAGCTAGTGCAATGAAAGTAAAATTCACAACATATTGGGCTCACCTAAATGAATCATCAACAATTTCGGGCCTTTTTGATCTGTGCAATAAACTTTCGACTTTCGACATTTATGAACGTTAACAAGCTATTAATCAGCTTCATGAAATGTATTAAAAGTATAAACCAACCCAAGAAAACAAACCACCTCCCACTACTACTAAAGCAACATGCAAACTTTTTCGTAATCTTACCTATAGCCATCAGGTTAACTTGAATCAATGTGAAATTGACAAGTATTTGACTGAGAATGAGACTGAAGCGGAACCGCTTCTTTGGTGGAAAGCAAATTCTGATCAGTTCCCGACTCTCTCCCGCCTTGCAATGGACTTTCTTGCTGTGCAAGCGACTAGTGTGCCAAGTGAGCAAGCCTTCTCAGTTGCCAAGCACACAATTAGTCTTACGCGAAACCGCATAAGTCCTGAAGTAGCCCGCGCATCCTTGTGCCTAAAAAGCTGGTATAAAGAACTGAGTAATATGTTAAAAGAAGAGACAGATAATATTAGTGCTTAAACTTTTTTTTTCTTTTTGTTTTATTGTTTTATTTTATATAAAAAATTTTTTTTTATATAAAAAAAACTTTTTATATAAATTTTGTTTTATATAAATTTGTTTTATATAAATTTATTTTTTTGTATAAATTTTTTTTTATACAATAAATATAATTTTTTTCGCGAATAAATATTGATCGCAACGGTAAATTTTTATGTTTAATGATAATCTAATGATAAAGTATCAATTTGATTGGATGGACTTATATCAAGGATTGTAATTCAGGACCCGGTCCTGGGATCGATCAACTATCAGTTTTTGTATCAAGTCCGGGACCGTCGTTTCAGGTCCCGGGACCGGACCGGACCGGATTGGCAATTTAACATCTCTAATACTGACCACTACTAGCCGCCTTGTTTATAGAATTTCTGAATTTCTCCAAATAAAAGATCATTCTTGCCTCGAAATAACCTAAAGAAGAGTTCAGAACAGGGATTAGCTTTATCATATAACTGTATAATATGCGCGAAATAACAATAACTGTGATTAAATTTTTATACAACTATAGTCCTACCAGTAGATCATGGTTGCTAATAATTTTTCGATTTGTATCACATGACGAGTGCATCGTGTTGCATAGTGCACCAAATTATAATTCTCAAAATTTATTTTATTTTTTTGGATTATTTAGGCGACTTGAAATTAAAACCTCATTTAACGTTATTTTTTTTCGTATTTATAGGGGGGGAGGGATGAAAATTAAACAAACATAAAAATTAACAGTCACAGGACATGTCCTTATCATTGCAGTTACTTATAAGTCAAATGAAGTGACGTACTAAATTTTATATATAAAT